CAAGGCTGTATACTGTCCCCCAGCTTATTTAACTTATATGCAGAATACATCATGCGGAATGCTGGACTGGAGGAATCCCAAGCCGGAATTAAGAATGCTGGAAGAAATATCAACAACCTCCGATATGCAGATGATACCACTCTGGAATTAACCCTAATGTATGGGTTGCGAACCTGGGGGTCATGAAGTGTTTTCTGATAAATCATTAGTTATTTTTAGTTGCAATTTTAAAAATACATTATTTTAAATATGACATACACAACGTTATTTTATTTTAATCTTCTTGGCCCTTGTTGTTGCTTAGTCGTTGTGTCCGATTCTTCGTGACCCCATGGACCAGAGCATGCCAGGCCCTCCTGTCTTTCACTGCCTCCCGGAGTTTGGTTAAATTCATGTTCGGCACTTCAGTGACACTGTCCAACCATCTCATCCTCTGTCGTCCCCTTCGCCTCTTGCCTTCTGTGGCGGAACCCCCATGTCACACCTGTCCATCATGGGAAGCTCAAGGGCAGGAGCCTATGAGAGGCCAGGAGGGGCGGAACCTAAAGGACGGTTAGACAGTTAGATATTAGGGAGGAGAGTTGGAAAAAAGAGGTTTGAGATAGGGAATTGAAGAGAGAGAGTTAGGAGATTGATTTGAGAAAGATTACAGATTGGAAAGTTGGAAGGCTAGAAATAATAGGAAAGAGTTCAAATGCATAGTGAAGAAAAAGATAGAGAAAACTGTAACAGTGAAGAAATACACATACAAACCAACGTAAAAGCAAATGAACAATCCTAAACATCTGTGATTTATTCCTGTGATTGGCATAACATCTATATTACCAATAAATTGGTTGTATTGGCAGCACATGTCTAAGTTCTATTTGGTATTAAGGGACTAATACCTGGTGGCAGCATGAAGTGAGGAAACGCATCCAGAGAGCGGACTTGTGTTTAGAGGGAAAATAAACAAAGGACACTGGGTGGACGCAACACCTTCACACTTTCCCAACATCAGGGTCTTTTCCAGGGAGTCTTCTCATGAGATGGCCAAAGTATTGGAGCCTCAGCTTCAGGATCTGTCCTTCCAGTGAGCACTCAGGGTTGATTTCCTTCAAAATGGGTAGATTTGTTCTCTTTGCAGTACAATTCAAAAGCATCAATTCTTTGGCGGTCAGCCTTCTTTATGGTCCAGCTCTCACTTCCATACATCACTACTGGAGAAAACATAGCTTTGACTATGCAAACCTTTGTCAGCAAGGTGATGTCCCTGCTTTTTAAG